TCTCTCTCTCTCTCTCTCTCTCTCTCTCTCTCTCTCTCTCTCTCTCTCTCTCTCTCTCTCTCTCTCTCTCTCTGTGTGTGTGTGTGTGTGTCTCTTTGCAGGTTCTGATGGCAACAAACAGAATTGATATCTTGGATCAGGCACTTCTCCGCCCAGGAAGAATTGACCGAAAGATTGAGTTTCCGCATCCAAATGAGGATGTAAGTGTCTGTGCCCTTTGTTTGCAGCAAGTCTTATCCAAAGCCCGTCTCCAAGTGATCATGTATGGCTGGACTGTTTGTTTTGTTAGTCCGTAGACGTGTGCTGCTGAAAGAAGAGGTGTTCTCGGTCAAAGGACAGGTACAACGGTGTTGCATGGTGCTCCGTGGTTTCCATGCATGCACACGCAATCTACTGGGGCCAGTTGATATGGTCGGTGACTGTTTCTTTTTCTTCTTCAATAGCCGGTGATTACTACCCAAGCGGACGATGCAGAAAAAGAAGAGTCCTTTTCAGCGCTTTGAAGTTTGAACTGTTAGCTTTTTCTGACGTGTCACGTGTTGTAAAAGGCATCTGTGAGTGCCTCCAGTTGCGTCTGCCAAGGTGCGTGAAGGGAATGGGAGGATGAGTTGTAGTGGGTGGAAAATGGTTGTGCCCTTTGTTCTCTGGAGAAACATGAATCTGATGTTAGAATCTCCCATGCTGTTGATTTTTTTCTTCCCCCCCTTTGCAGTTGTCATGGATGGAAAATGGCTTGTGCCCTTTGTTCTGTGGAGAAGCATGAATGTGCTGTCAGAATCTGACTGAAGCTGAATGAAGCTTTTTTTTCCTGTTCTTATAATTATCGGAAGGTGTGGTGGATGGAGAGTCTGTGTGTGTCGGTGTTGGGGGAATAACAGGTATCTCTGATTTTCCTTGGGGCGGGGGGAGGGGTTAGGGGGCGGAGCAGGGAGGGGGGTTGAGAGAGGTAATAGTGTCTGCGGAGCCTGTAGTTGTTGATCGCGAGGGCTAATGGATGTCTGCAGTAGGTCAACAGTTTCAGGGGGCGAGGTGGGCGGTGTTATTCTATCTGTTTGGTTGACTCTCTCTGTGTGTGTGTGTGTGTGTGTGTGTGTGTGTGTGTGTGTGTGTGTGTGTGTGTGTGTGTGTGTGTGTGTGTGTGTGTGTGTGTTCTTGCTTATAGTTGAGGTTTGATGTCTCGAAGATTGTTTATTGAAGACGGGACCTCCTCTGGGCATGGGTGTTTGTCACAGCTGACTGGTTGGATGTATACATGTTTGTCTTGGATGTATATCTGTTCATATGTTTTGTTGCTTTGCAGTCAAGGTACGACATTTTGAAAATCCACTCGAGAAAGATGAACCTCATGCGTGGTATCGATTTGAAGAAGATTGCTGAAAAAATGGGTGGAGCCTCTGGAGCAGAGCTCAAGGTCAGTCTATCTATCGATCCCTCTCAGAGTCCTTGGTCCCCAGTGTCCGCGGTCGTACTTCACTCCTCTCCGGTGCATGGAGGTGTTTGTTGTGTTGAGGTCCCTGTGGCTGTGCTCTTCTCCAGTTCTTCTTGTGTGCCTCGAGGTGTTTGTTGTCGTCGGTCGATCGCAGTGGTTGCTAATGGAAACAGACTAACAGAAAACAGAGTGTTGTTTGGAGTCTTATCTGGAACTTCCCCCGTACGCAGGGAAAGCCGGCGCAGCGGCGCCTGGATGGATGTGGGAGGACCTTGCTTATTGCGAACTTCTTCACTTGGATAGAATGCCCGGTCATTATCGCTGTATCCGGACTGAAAGCTGCCACAAATGCAGCTACAACCTAGGCTACCAGAGTGGCATGGGGTCACTTGCCCGGCTGGACCAAAAAAAATTAAAATTTTAAATAAATAAATATTATTTTACATTTTTGTTTTATATTTTAAATTTGGTAAAGCATATCGATGTGCAAGGAAGATGAGCAATAGCGAACCTCGGAAGTCAAACAGCATCATACACATGTGACCAGATAGTCGTGACCTCGAACCAAAAGCAGAATTGCACAACGAGTCCCACCAAATAAGCTCAGAAGGGACAATGTTGGAATAGTCTCATCATCATCAACACAGAACCAATGTCGATATCCTATCTGGCGCTCGGCGCCCAGACTACAGATGGCAGATCCTATCTAGCCTAGACTACAATGCCGAAGATGACGACAACAGCTCTCTCGAAGTACGAGCAGATAGCGGCCAATGCCGCACGCTTCCAGCACCAGGTCTGTCTCTCGCATCACTCACAACCTCGTTCCCCAACACACAGATGCTACATGCACCCAAGGATCACCCTGCGCCACACCCAGCCTACAGCAGCGCAGCTTGGCTATGGCTGCCTGCTCCTTCCAGCTCGCCCGTGAGCGCGTGAGCGCTGGCCAGCTTCAGCGCAGCAGCGGTTGCGCAGCATGCAGCCAGCACCCGAATGTCGAATGCGAAGGCAGGCCCTTTGATATATGGAAGTGACCTGCCTGCGTTCTGTCCGAGGCTGCGCTGGGCCTTTCCCAAGAAGCTTCCGGTAGGCCCCGGTAGGCTGAGGCCCAGTCCAAACAACTCAGGCCCTGGGCCTGTGGTGGTTGCTTGCGCCCAACTGCCATCGGCCTGTGTCTGGCCCACCTCTCGTACCCAGCCCAGGGCCTGCCTTTGATTCATGCACACAGGCGACCCAGCTGCACAACTGCCTGAAGTTCCTTAGTTGCATCGTGGCCAAATTTCAGGGCCCTCAGGCCCTCGTCGAGCCTGCCTTCACTTAGGGCGGCCGACGTGCTGCTTGGCAGGGCCTGAAAGGGGCACATCGGGCCTTTAGCCTCGCAGATGTGACCCTGAGGCAAAAGTTGTTCAGTTTATTGTTCTGCATAACATAGTTTTTTTTTTGGACTTTTTGGATTTTATTTTTTTTGCTGGGACCTTCCCTTGTCCTTGCACGGGCTGGCCACCCGGGACTTGCATGCCTAACCAAGTGAGGTAGGCTGCCGGGCCTTTTCAGGAGGTTGTGGATTCAAGCCCCATGGCCGCCAGCGGCGCACTTAGTGCCAACGGACTGTGATAGTCCTCTGGATACCCCTGATCGTTATTTGCGGGGTCTATGACCAACACGGGTGTGACTGTGAGCGCGAGTGGGTTGTGCGTGGTGTGTGGGAGAGTGTTGGCCATAGCCTCTGCTGCTACTCGATGAGGGGTGGGGGAGGATGAGAAAGGGAGGCGCAGCTACTGGCAAAATGCTCGGTCTTTGCGTTAGCCGGACCCCCACCGGTGGCCCCACCCCATCTCTGACTACCGCTGTTGGGGCGGGGGGCAACATGAATTACCTCGTTTGTGAGGCCCTATGCTTCGAGGGGGGGGGGCTGTGTTTTTTTGCTTTTTTTTTATGTTTGTATTATGAGCTTCCATTTGTTTGTTTATGAATTTTTTGACGACATTGCTTTTGGTGATGCTGCGAACTCCCTTCCGAGTTTCGGGCCTTCCACTAACCCGTCTCTCGTCTCTCGTCTGCTGTGAGACCGGTAATCTCGATCGAATAATAATGCTGTCAGGATTTTGCAGATAAGTGCCAACTATTATTCCCACTCTTGATTTTCGTGTTGCCTGCGTCTCTCCTTTTTGTGCATGCACAGGCTGTGTGCACGGAGGCAGGCATGTATGCTCTGCGAGAAAGACGAGTGCATGTGACGCAAGAGGACTTTGAGATGGCGGTCGCGAAGGTCATGAAGAAGGATACCGATAAAAACATGAGTTTGAAGAAGCTCTGGAAGTAGACGGGGAGAGCTCGCAAGGACACCTTTGCTGGTGGCGAACCCCCCTTTTTGCGGGTTTTTGTTTTTTGGGCTTGGGACCATTGATTTGTGCTTTTTCGGTCGTCCGACCTTGGGCCGACACACTCCTCTCCTTCAAAATCTTTCGATTTGATTGGGAATGGAAGAAGATGAAGGCAACACACTAAATTGTTCAAAGTATATTCTGCATTCACAATGTGTCGAGTGACACCATGATTGCCGGCAACTTCCCTTGCTTGCTTGCAGTTGTTGTTGTTGTTGTTTTTTTTTTGCTTTTTTTTGGGGGGGGGTACCCTTTTTTAGTTCAGTGGGTGTGCAGTTCGGCACTGTTTTTTTTTCTGTTTTTTGTTAGGCACTGATGCTGCTGTTGTGCGTGTACTTGCCGGTTGGTATCTGAATGGTAAAGTTCTTAGTGGCTGGTTGGTATGACCAAGAGTTGGGGAAAATGAAAAAATTCAAAAAATCAGTAGAACGGCGTGTACTCGCTTTTTTTGTGAAGAATTGGAGGCCAGCTAGGGTTGTAAAGTGTTGGGGGGATACCTTGGGGGGGGAGGGTGAAGCGGCTCCGGCGGTTGAACCGGGTCCGGTGTTAATCGCACCAGGTTGTGGTCTGTTTGTTGTGGAGAAGAACTCGTGTCAGCTCTGCACGAATCACTGCCCCGATCTGATGGGTGCGGCGGTTTTAAAGAGCACTTGTACCTCGTATTGGATGTGTTTTTTTTGTTGTTTTTTGTTTTCTCCTTTTCCAATTTCCTTCCCTGCACCGTGATGTGCCAACTGTTTCACAGGTCGTGATAATGGTTTCAATTTCGAGAGAAAAATTAAATAAAAGAACGACTTTCAGGAAGTCTGCGGGAAAGAAATGGAGAGGCAATAGGAAAGAGGCTCTCCTATCTTTGATGCAGCATTACTACGGACTTTTTTTTTTTTTTTTCCAACAATGTTTCTTGCGCAGGGCCTATGAATGATAAGAAGCACACTTGACGCAGCAGTAGAAAGCTTTTTTTTTTTTTTTTAAACAATGTTTCTTGCGCATGGGCCATGAATGATACAAAGCACACTTGACGCAGCATTACAAAGGATTTTTTTTTTTTTTTTTTTTTTTTTTTTTTTTTTTTTTTTTTTTATGTTTCTTGCCCAGGGTCCATGAAAAAAAAAAAAAACACTAGCTTCTTCAGTTGCCTGCTGTGCAATAACTTTGTAT